GTATCAGTGCGTAAATGTGATAAAATTAATTTTTGAATAACGATAATATTAAAAATAATCTACCTAGACCCTTGAAACTTATAATTCTAAAACAACTTTATGTGCTTATTTCAGGCATGCAGTTCGTTAAAGGGATATAGTGTTTCATTAGTAAGATATGTCCCCCCAAAAATGGCCCAAGTGCAAGAATTGCACAATAAAATTGTATTTACTGTTGATTTCAAATGAGCATATATTATCCATGTACTGTCTAGAGCCGTGAAACCTTTTATTCTAGTTCAACTTTTTGTGTTGATTTCAGTTATGCAGTCTGTTAAAGGGATAAATTGTTTAATCAGTAAGATATTATGCCCCAAAAATGGCCCAAGTGCAAGAATTGTGCAATAAAATTGTGTTACAATTGATTTCAAATGAGCATAATATTATCTGTGAACGGTCTAGAGCCATGAAACCTTTCATTCTAAGATAACTTTTTGTGCTGATTGCAGTTATGCAGTTTGTTAAAGGGATAAATTGTTTAATTAGTAAGATATTTTGCCCCAAAAATGGCCCAAGTGCAAGATTGTGCAATAAAATTGTGTTTACTATATTATTGATTTCAAATGAGCATGATATTATCCATATACTGTCTAGACAGCCATGAAACCCTTCCATTCTAGGACAACTTTTTGTGCTGATTTCAGGTATGCAGTCTGTTAAAGGGATGCATTGTTTAATTAGTAAGATATTTTGCCTCAAAAATGGCCCAAGTGCTAAAATTGCGCAATTAAACATTGTGCGACTATATATTGATATATTTCAAATGAGCATAACATTAACAGTGTTCTGTTTAGAACCATGAAACCTATATTCTAATACACATTTGTATGCTTATTTAATTCATGACGTCTGTTAAGGGACAGAGTGGTTAGTTAGTATGATATTTTGCACCAAAAAATGGCTCAAGTGCAAGAATTACATAGTAACATATATTTTAAATATGAGCACAATATTATCAGTGTACTACTGCCTATAGCCATAAAACCTTTACAATTCTAGAAAAACTTTTGTGCTTATTTCAGTCACGTAATCTGGTAAGGAACACAGTCTTTAATTAGTAAGATATTGTACCGACCCCAGAATTGTGAAATAACAGTGCTTTTCACCATTCTCGCACAAGAGCCACTTTTGGGGGCCCAATATCTTAATAATTAAACATTGTGTCCCTTACCACCAGAGTGCATGACTGAAATAAGCACAAAAGGTTGTTTTTGAAGTAAAAGTTTCATGGCTCTAGACAGTACAATGTAAAATTTATGCTCATTTAAATTCAATGTCACACAATGTTATTGCTCGATTGTTGCACTTGGGCCATTTTGGGCCAAACTATCTTACTAACTATTAGTTAGTAAGATAAAAGACTGTATCCCTTAACAAACTGCATGAATTAAATAAGTGTACAAATATGTACTAGAATTTAAGGTTACATGGTTCTGAACTGTACACTGTTAATGCTATACTCATTTTAAATATCAAAATAGTCGCACAATGTTATAGTGCAATTTTGCGCTTGGGCTATTTTTGGGGCAAAATATCTTACTAATTAAACAATTTATCCCTTTAACAAACTGTATAACTGCAATCAGCACAAAAAGTTGTCTTAGAATGAAAGGTTTCATGGCTCTAGACCGTTCACAGATAATATTATGCTCATTTGAAATCAATCATAACACAATTTTATTGCGCAATTCTTGCACTTGGGCCATTTTTGGGGCATAATATCTTACTAATTAAACAATTTATTCATTTAACAGACTGCATAACTGAAATCAACACAAAAAGTTGTCCTAGAATAAAAGGTTTCACGGCTCTAGACAGTACACGGATAATATTATGCTCATTTGAAATCAACAGTAAATACAATTTTATTGCGCAATTCTTGCACTTGGGCCATTTTTGGGGGAACATATCTTACTAATGAAATACTATATCCCTTAACGAACTGCATGCCTAAAATAAGCACATAAAGTTGTTTTAGAATTATAAGTTTCAAGGGTCTAGGCAGATTATTTTTAATATTATCGTTATTCAAAAATTAATTTTATCACATTTATGCACTGATACTGTCGCAAATTGAAAAATATACCCCTTTTCAAATCGCTTTTTAAACATGAAGGGATAAAGACACCAAGCTGATATTTGGAACATCTGATCATCATATGTAAATTAATTAATGGTGCAAGTTTTAACAACAAGCGTACTTG